TTATTGTAGATAGATAGATAGATAGATAGATAGATAGATAGATAGAAACGGCTTGAGACATATATACATAGAAAGAAAGAAAGGAAGATACTGAGATAGAGAAAGAAACGGTCTGATTGAATAGATAGATAGATGATAGATAGATAGATAGATAGATAGATAGATAGATAGATAGATAGATAGGGAAATAGATAGATGGGATAGATAGATAGATAGATAGATAGATAGATAGATAGATAGAGATAGATAGATAGATAGATAGAAACCGACTGAGACAAATAGATATGTAGAAAGAAAGAAAGATAGTGAGATAGACAGAAAGAAACGGACTGAGTAGATAGATAGATAGATAGATAGATAGATAGATAGATAGATAGAAACGGCTTGAGACTGATACATACATAGAAAGAAAGAAAGGAAGATACTGAGATAGAGAAAGAAACGGTCTGATTAGATAGATAGATAGATAGATAGATAGATAGATAGATAGATAGATAGATAGATAGATAGGAAACGCACTGTGATAGATAGATAGATAGATAGATAGATAGATAGATAGATAGATAGATAGATAGATAGATAGAAAACGACTGAGACAGATAGATATATAGAAAGAAAGAAAGAAAGATAGTGAGATAGACAGAAAGAAACGGACTGAGTAGATAGATAGATAGATAGATAGATAGATAGATAGATAGATAGATAGATAGAATCAAAACTCTGTGGTGCCTCTCACTTTCAGCCCTGAAATGAACTTTAAATCATTTTGCGGGCTCATTTTTCCCGTTAAATCGGGAATATAAGAAGTACAGGAGAATAAACGAGCAGTTCTCAGTTCTTTAATTATGGTTAATGATATATTTATAAGTTATTTCAAAATTATTTACATGATTCGTTTCATTTCTCTTGCAAATTATGGGATGTAAAATAAATTTGAATTAATAAATTAACATAATATATCACTACCTTAGATATCCTGATCATACATAAACCAGAGCATTTATTGAATAGAGATGTGATAGAGTATTTGTTCGTTAGGCACACACTTGCAGAGCCACTTGCTTGTACTCGTATATATATATATATATATATATATATATATATATATTATAAATTAATTGATTTAAAATATGATTTTTTTTTTCGATACACATTTCCAACCATGTTTCAAAAAATAGAAGTAAAACCCCGAATTTAATTTTGCAATTAAATTAAAAGCATTAGTTCCATTTCATCTTCAAGCGAAATTTGGAGTAACTTTTAAAAATTACCGGGTTTTAAAGACACAGCTAAAATCCCGTTTCCATGGTTACAGAATATTCTACTTAAATTGAACAAGGGATGTCTAGATTTTCCTTATGTCAGTATCATTGTATCAGTTATTAGCTACAATTTGGTAAGGGGTAGGGATGTATTTTACAATGAAACCTGACATCAGTTGAATGGATGTCGTCTGGATAGATCTTTTTCTCTCTCCCTCTTTCTGTCTTCACTCAGACACACACAAACATCAGCGAATGATTAACTTTAAAACCGAATCCAAGGTAATCTCATGTACACATATCTGTTATTTATCGTTTTAAGTGACGGTGGAAGTCCAGTTATGTCCAGTGGCTAGAGGTGCGCACGTGCTTGGTTTTATACGCATACAAGCTCCATTAGCATCCGAGCATTCACAGGCGCAGAAGTCTGCCATCGGGGAGCTTTTATTTTGTTCAGTTACTTGTGGGATCAATTATTCAGTGGGTTTCTTCGTGTTTCATACGGCTCAGAAGAATTACCATCTTAACATCTTGAAGGCGGTTGTTATGGACATGTTTCGTCCGACAATGTGTAGGCACAGATATAACTTCGCACTTTTTGGCGAGAATTTGTCTTGATCTTGGGTACTTGATTTTTCCTCCTCCTTGTCTCTCGTAAATCTATTTCACAAAGCATCGGAAAAAAGGTACCTTAAAAATTATATTTTTCATCGAGAAGGTAACTTTGTATCCAAACTTTTGAATAGTAAAATATTCCCTGTTTCAAGAATAATATGTATGCATATATGTGTGTGTGTACGTGCGTGTGTGTGTGCGTGTGAACATTTATGTGCGGTCTATCTCCGATATTGAGCAATTTCTCTCATAAATATAACACGCCTATAAACTGTATTTTTCACACACACACACACACACACACACACACACACACACACACATATGTGTGTGTATATATATATATATGTATATGTATATATATATATATATATCTATATGTCTATATATATATATAGAGAGAGAGAGAGATATAGATAGATAGATAGATAGATAGATAGATAGATAGATAGATAGATAGATAGATAGATAGATAGATATATTTGATTTGTAACCTGTAGTCGATATTAAATTTGTCAAATTTTCTCAATTACACAGCGGGCCTTTCAGTAAATGTCCTTCAATTTTACATTCCTTCGCCCCATCTCTCTCCCTTCACCTCGTCTTTCCCTCCTTCTTATTCTGATCTTAAACATTAGATCGTCTATGGTGTGTGTATGTCAACACGAAATGTATCTTTATACATTAGACATCCGACAACATTCATATTTCTCTTACTTAAACCCCTTCCACTCACCTCTCCTAAAATTCTCTCTGTTAAGTTTTAATCTCCCTCCTTCTCTAGTCGGTTACCCCTTCGTCCCACACCCGCATACTTACACTCTCTCTAAATTCTGTTTTTATTTCCGGAGTTGTTTTTTCTGTTTTCTTTTTGAATTTGTAGGTCTGATGAATTGGATCGTATTTACGATTCCAATGGAATAAATTATGACCATGGAATATTAATGTTTAACCTTTTTATTATATCCTTACTCTGTCCTGGACATTGAGTTCTACCTGGGATCTATACTCTTGGATTTTTATTCAAAAAATTTACATGTATGAGTATGCACCTATGTATATATATATATTTTTATATTTTGCATATGTATGTATATTTACCACTAATATATTTTCTATATATATATATATATATATATATATATATATATATATATATATATATATATATATATATATATATATTAAAAATATAGTGCAGAAATTAAAAACAAATACGTAAGTAAAACATGTACAGAAATAAGCTCTACCATAACTTCCGTCTAAAAAGTGCCATACTTATAAAAAGAGAACATTTTTTACTTAGAATGGAATTTCTTAAATGTACATTTACAGAGTCTTAGAAAATGCGAACATACGCCCATTACAAAATGAAACACACCTTTTCCATGACAAATAATCGAGCTAATAATAACTATATTGATATATAAAAATAAATGAATACTAACGATATATATATATATATATATATATATATATATATATATATATATATATATATATATATATATATATATATATATATATATCGACCTGTCTATTAGTGGATAAAGGGGTTGGTTAGATCTAGTGACAGGACCTAATGAGTGTCAGTTCAATACCCGATTAAGGCAGTGGAGAACTTTCAGAGGGAAATTAACAGGCGATAAATGATAACTGACATCTGTTAAACATGGCACGTGAAACTAGAATAGTCTACCCCAGTGAGCGAAATAAAGAGTTAAGTTCGACATTCCAACCACCTGAAAAAGTGCGGAGCTTACAACGGCCGAAACGTTGTAATACATATGGCGATAAAGATGGGGACAATAGTCCGAATAATGTAAATAATGTATATATCGACCTATTCCAGATCTAAAGACAGGTTTGTACAGGTGCAGACTCAAAGCGATCTTATGTGTAAAATATCGATGATAAAATATTCATAAGATCACTTAGACTCTGAGACATCCATTTTCTGAAACAAAAGAAGAATGCATCAAGGAATTTAGGAACGCAAAATGACATTTGCAATAAGAATTCTCATTTAAAATTCGAACAGCTGACCCAAACACCAAATACTTATGACTAGAATTTGTTAAAGTTTCTAGGTTTCATGAAATTTGCATTTATATTCGCAGAAGAATTTATAGAACTAATAACTACCGGCGTTCTTATTTGTTTTATAGCCGAAGCTTCGTTTGACACAAGGACATAAGCCAAACGCAGATAATAGGAAATATCTTTTGCTTGAAGTGAAAAATTTCATTTCACACGAAGCAAAGCAATAATGCCACGAAGATGCAAGGGATTTCTGAGTGTGGAATAAATGAGAATAAATCACAATACAAAACAGGTTTCAAGGAAACTGAATATTGGGACAGAGGTTATATTTAAATTTTAAAAGAGTGTATGTGGGAGAGAAGCCAGAATCAAGAAGAACATTTCACAACTGAGAAGTCTGAGAAATTAAACCCGTAGGATAGTAGTTTGTGATACATTTTGCCAATTCAATAGTAAACTGATGAAACCTAATCTAGTAGTAGGCTTCAGTATATACGCCTGAGTTGCAAAAAAGGAGAGCTTATCAGAGCAACTGCCATGAAATTAGTACTTATTTTTAAATTAAATTATAATTATAACTATAGAAAGAATAGAAGGAAACCACGTGACTGTTGTCGGAAAGTAAGAGTACCCGAGATGATAGGTCAAATCCAGAAACATTATAGATATTTCTTTGAAAAACTCCTAATTATATTACATAAAATCCGGACCGGATATTGCAGCCATATTGAGTGCATTTTTGAATGGCAGATTTATAAATGTGAAAAATTGTTTGTGGTATTATTTTTTTTACACACAGTGAACCATATTTGCTATTAAGCAGACTTAGCAATTGTTTACATATATACACCGCATTTTATGTCAGTGGAAAATGCGAAACCAAGAATCGCCATCAGTTTGGCACTCGAAAGTTGGCAACAGTCATGCTGTTGAAGATCATAAAAAAGTATCTCTATATTAAGTAAAATACAGCAGGTTTGATTTGACAACGATAACATTTACTAGACATTTCTTACCCCAGTTAATTAAACGTCATTTTCTTAAGCATCTGCCAGATTCATATGAACCAATCACATTTTCTAGTAAGAAAGAAGTAAATATTTGTTTAATCAGAATGGATACAGAATTGGGAATAGGTGAGGTCTCAAAGGTTGGTAATGAGTATAGTAAACATCGTAGGCCTAAGGACATATCCCTTGGTGACACGCGTATTATGGTGAAATGAATTATAAGAGTGGCCGTATCACATTAATTTTATTACACAATTGAAAGATTGGATCAAGTCAAATACTCGGACACCATAGCATTCTAGCATATGATGGTCAACCTGCCAGATCCTTTCAAACGTCTTCGAGATAACTTTAGCCACAGTCCGAGCCTGTCTGTTCAAATCTAAAACTTGATGAAGAAATTTAGTAATAACATTAAAACATAGGCGGATTACCTAGAGAACGAAAAACTTGTTGTTTATCTGAAAAAAGCAATTTTAAGTGGGATGATTGCCCAATTCAATGTTGATTAGAGTGTATAGTACATTATCAAAAATGGTAGAAGTTTAATAAGACAATAATTGGAGGAATCAGAGTAACTAAAGACAGAAACTGATAAAAAGTGTGACATTACTGTAATTATTGAACAATATAGTTCATGCCACTTTGACAGAAAATTTACCAGTAAAAAATTCGTTCATCACCATATTTATATGAACGCACAACCTTTAAAAAATTTAAAATCAAACTCAGCGTTGCTACTGCGCGCTCCAAAAACAATAACTCATTTTCAATAGCATTTTTCGGATAAAACAATACATATATTTTCGTTGTCCTCTTATTACTAAGAGAAAAAACAAGAACAACATCTATTCTATACCTGGAAGATGTCTGTAGGAACAGACGAAAGCTTGTAAAAAAAAATAAGAACTAATACGGCAGAAATTTATGGAAACAAGGATCAATTCATTCATAACGGATTCGGAGGTTTTTGTATATTATTTGAATTGTTTGCGATGATGGATTCTCGCCAATTAAATCATTAACCTTTGCTTTTTTTTTTGTGTGAATAATTCATGAATTTAAATTAATTGTTTATATATATATATATATATATATATATATATATATATATATATATATATATATTATATATATATATATATATATATATATATATATATATATATATATATATATATATATATATATATATATATATATATATATATATATATATATATATATATATATATATATATATATATATATATATATATATATATATATATATATATATATATATATATATATATATATATATATATATATATATATATATATATATGTGTGTGTGTGTGTGTGTGTGTGAGGCATGGTGGAGTAATGGATAGCGGCTTGGATTGAGGAATCGCAGAGCCGAGTTCGAATTCCAGTGCTAATACCCTTGGGAAAGGTGTGAATCCTCTTCTTCTCCCTCCAGCTATGGGTAAAATAGCAGGACAGACTGGCTTCTATAAGCTTGGATGACAACTTGTCTAGGAGAAGGACAAGTCTGAATTCAAAACCTGCGGAGGGTCGTTTGGGAATTTTGTGGCACTAAGTGCACCAGGTCTATGTATTCGTCCCTTCAAAATGTGCGGATGGTCCTCCCCAAAGTCTTCACCACAATAATCAAATCTCATGTGTCGTTGTCAGGTTGTCGGTTTCTGAAACTGATCTGCTTGCCCCTCATACGTCGACTATATATATATATATATATATATATATATATATATATATATATA